AGTGTAAGACTAGAGGGAAGGCAGCTAGTCATCACCACCCACCGCCAACTCTTGGGCTACTCTTTTACCAACGAATAGTGGGATTGACCGTCACATTATAACGCCCCCACGGCTGAAAGGGCGAGCATGTTTGGTGTGAAGGGGATTCGAACCCGCGACACTCAGATTGTGAGTCGAGCGCCCTAACCACCTGGCCATGCCAGGCCTTTTTGGGGATCAAGGAAAATTGATTAATTTCGAGGTACCCCCGTTTTTTTTTTTGTTGTTTTGTTTTTTAATCCTTAACACTAGGGGGATAATAATTCTTAAAACATCTATAAACACCTAAACCAAGAATGTGACGGGGGACTGCAGATGATAAGAACTTTGAAATAACCCGTAATTCCAACGTGTGAGAAACTGAAACCAGATACAGCTACTTGTGCATTATGTTTGTATCAGAGAGCTTGTTATAAACTCCTAGTTTGTCTTAGGTTGCTCAGCTATTGTTAACCAAATTAACAATGTATATATCCAAAATACTCTTAGATACATATACGTCTTTAGTGATATCGGCTATGAAAAACAATAGACGACAAGATCTGCTAAGTTATACGTCACGTACACTGTTCATAATTTATAAAGTTATTTTATTCCTATTACAAGTAGGCAAAGAATGATTACAATTTTACTTGTCATTAGTATTGGGCCTTATATATGCCTGAATAGCTGTGAACTGAGCGAAACGCGTCGTCAGCAATAAATATGACAAATATAACGTGGTTAGAACACTATTATTATACACACTTCTAATTCCTGAAAATCCCTAAGGGACTAGATTAAGAATGTAGTGTTTCAAAATGTAATAAGCCTGAGACTAATGTATTATGACAAGTAAAACTGTATTTCATTTAGTTGTATAATTGTACTTAGCATCGGTTATGTGAACCATCTGCAAGAGCAAAGAATGATTAAGGCTGAGTACTTGAAACTATTGTTACGACAACGCAGGTCACGTGACTAGTATCACGCCACGTCGTTCTCGAACATTCACGTCCTTTCCTTAAATCTCGGGATCCTTCTAGATGTAGTGTAGTCTTGTATATTGTTGCGTCAGCGAGGTCACGTGACTAGTATCACGCCACTTCTCTCGAACATTCGTGAATTATCGGGAGACTACTAGATATGTGGTAGTCTGGTATATATATAACATGGTCACAACGTGACGGGACAACAGTGTAATGAGTAATTGAATGTATGCGGACAAAATATTGTTGGCCTCGTGAGACGTGAATTATAGTGTTGTTATAGAGCGACTGTTGAAATTAAGTGTATCGTAAAGTTGTATTCGGAAAGAATAAATCGGTTTTATTAAGTAAGGACTTGTGTCGCTAAAGTTTCGTCGGAACGAAGTTACGGAAAATAAACTAACGACTGGAGGCGTAACAATATGTTAGACCGGCCAAAAGCGACGGGAATAATGAGTAATTGAATGTATGCTGAAAGAGTATTGTTGAACTGAGCACGTGAGACGTTCGTCGTGTGTTATAGCGCGACTGTTGAAATTAAGTGTATCGTAAAGTTGTATTCTGAAAGAATAAATCGGTTTTATTAAGTAAGGACTTGTGTCGCTAAAGTTTAGTCGGAAGAAGTTACGAAAAATCAATTAACGAACGGAGACGTAACAAATTGGTGTGAGAAGTGGAAAGAAAAAAAAAT